TTTTTTTTTTTTTTTTTTTTTTTTTTTTTTTTTTTTTTTTTTTCAATTTTAAGCCCCATATACCACAAACATCTTAAGTGCATTACTTGTATAATTGCATAAACATAAATTAACTTCTAAGAATTATCTTCATTCTCACACATACATGTGTGCATACATATTTATAACCATGAAAATGTGAGACAACCACCTAACCTTACTAATTAGGTCATCAAAAATAATTCTAACGATATTAAATTCTAAGTAAATGGTCACCATGGCTGTTTACACACGCCCATATAATCCACCAAATTTGATAAATCTCAAATACAAACCAGGACATGCTATAATACCCCTTCCCAGCCAGCTTTTTCTCAGTTGCTCCTAAACAATGTGTACAAGAACTACACCAATTCCATCTTCGGAGGACAAAATACGTACTCATTCGAATGAAATGTGTCGGGAAACATGAGAATAAACTAAAAACTCCCTAGTAATACCATCAAAATGAATCCGGTAACTTTTATTTTTCCCCAAATTAACGAGTCGTATAATGAAATTCATCCATGTTTCAATCAGCAGGGAGACAAAAAACATATAAAATTCAATTCCCTAAAAACACCAATCCAATTGAAAATTAAAGCGACCACCGACAGAAAAAATACACAAACCAATCATTTCAAGTGCATAGATACATCACATCTAACAACAATCGTTAACCAGATTAACCAGAAAGTAAAAATAAATAATAAATAATAATCATAATAAAGCGCAATTAAAACATCAAAATTCCAGTTCTAGATCACCGTATCAAAACATTCGAGAAACTTACTCCATAATCCTAAAGAACAATCCAGAGAATGGGGGATAAACTCACTTGAGGTTGGAGAATGATAAATCGTTGCTTCAGAAAGCTAGCAGATGGGGGACGAAGGATCGACGAGGATTGGCGGAGTTTCGTTCTCATTACCTTATTATTATTTATTATTATTATTATTTTCTCTTTTCCAGTATTGTGTGGGCCTAAAAGTTGGCCCATTAATGTTTGCACAGAATAGTTTCCTGTCGTCAGGCCCAATAACGGTATTATGGGCCCCCAATCTCTAAAAAAAAATTAATATTTTAACGATAATTGGAAAATGAAAATTTAATTCTAAATAATAATAATTTCCATAGTACCCACCAAAAGGAAACCCGCGCGATCCTAAGGCCGTATTCGACAAGCTGCGAAACAATGTGAGCAGCATCAACGGGCCTTCTTCAAAGTCCTCCTCTGTTCTTCCTTGCTCATCTGCTCCAGCTTCCGGAGCCATTTCTTGCTCTCCACCGAATTCGCTTCAGGTTTTGCTCCTTCTGCAGTTTCATTTTTAGGAGTAGGATTCGAATAATCGTAATCTGTCAATCTGAATTGGAGTGTCAATGTTTTGATCTTTTCCTTTATAGCTTCGTTCTGATTTCTCTGGTTGTACTGTTTCATTCACGATTTTTTTTGTTGATTGTGTGTTCTACTCTTGAAATTATTGGATTTCATTTTATGTGTGTTTTCGGGGGGTTTTGTTTGAGACGTGTTATAAGCTTTATTTATTTATTTATTATTTAAACTCATTGATTGGTGGTACTGACAATCAATATGCTTACGGAGTAATTGAATCGAATTAATGACGGTTCATCCACTGCAGTTGCTTCATGTGTGTCCTCTAATCGAATCAACAACTGCGAAGCCAGGACGATGGTGGAGTGCGAACACTAGAAGTTTGTGATCGTGCTTGCTGTGGTCTTCCAGCTAAAATGCGGTTCAAGGATAGGATTTCCTACTTTTATGATGGTACTATTTTTGTTTTCTACGTCCCTTCGACATCTATTTCTTTAGTTTACTAATCTAATGCTCAAGTTCTCCCCGATTCAGTTCGGAACACCTTTCTCTGCAACGATGAGAAATTTCATCAAAGCAATAGGTGTTTGTATTTAACTTTCTGTTTTCTCCTTCCCTCCCAAATCCATTCACTTCGAATTATTCGTACCTTGTAAACGAGACTGTTGGGGTTGGAAAGAGCACATTGAAAGAACCATTGATTTGTGGATTATTTCGTGATATAATCAACTCTCATCTACTTTTGCGCTGAACTTATGCTCATGCCTAATAAGAACATTTTATATTTATGGGAAAATTGTAGATTGCAATCTTAGGATTTGCCTACTTTACAAGCCGCACTTTTATATTTTAAAAATGGTTTCAAATATTCCTATGTTTTGTAGAACTGCAAACCATATCCATTTATATGTTTTATTTTGGAGTTGGTACGCGTGGCATATCTAGAAGAAGAAACATGTATAATTCCATTCAAGTTAACAATAAGATCTTAGGTGGTTGTGGTGTTTCAAGATAAGAAAGTCATTTAAACTTAAACCTTACACAAAATATGGTTTTGCAGGAGACGTGGGAAGTGTTTACTTTGGTCCAAATCATCCAATGAAACCACATCGACTCTGTATGACTCACCATCTTGTTCTCTCGTATGAGCTTCATAAGAAGATGGAAATTTATGTTAGTGTCTTTCTCTTTGAATTTGTCTTACAGTGAAGCTTTTAACACGTGCTTGTAGGTTTACTGTTCTTTTTGTTGATTTTTGTACTACCATGCAGCGTCCTCACAAAGCATATCCTGTGGAGCTTGCTCAGTTCCATTCAGCTGATTATGTGGAGTTTCTGCACCGAATAAATCCAGATACCCAACACTTGTTTTCTAATGAGCTGGCTAAGTGTATCAATTTTCTCTTGATCTCTATCACCATTTCTCTGCAGTTCCTCGTTTGTAGGCAGAGAACTAGAGATAAATTTTGATAGATTTTGACTTTGTATCAGATAATCTTGGAGAGGATTGCCCTGTCTTTGAGAACTTGTTTGAATTCTGCCAAATATATGCCGGTGGAACAATAGGTAAATTCAATAATGGATATCTTGCGATTCATGCTGAAGATAAAGTCCGTCTTGACTCATTACTGCCATTCTCCTTGCAGATGCCGCACGCAGACTAAACCATCAACTATGTGACATTGCAATAAATTGGGCAGGTGGCTTACATCATGCTAAAAAGTGCGAGGCTTCTGGGTTTTGCTACATCAATGATTTGGTTCTGGGAATACTAGAACTTCTAAAATATCATTCTCGTGTTTTGTATATTGACATAGATGTGCATCATGGTGATGGGGTAGAGGAAGCATTTTATTTCACTGACAGGTACAACATGACCTGGACTTTCTAGTTCTACATTGAATTTATAATTGGAAACTGGAAAATGTTTCTGTTTATTGAGCAATTGAGATAAGATTTTTTTTTAAAAGTTGAAGTTGATATTAAGTGCACAGCTCATAGCTTTATGCTTATAAATTGATATTTTTGAATTATAGTTGTTGGGGCGGACTGCCGACACACATTCTGTTTGTTGCTAATTTATTTTGAACAGAACTCTGTTTATTGGTAGAATGCAACCTAGTATACAAAAGGGGAGAATCTGATAAAAGAATTTGAAGTGAGTAAAAATTGTAATTGCATGTTTGAAGATTTTCACGAGCAGTTAATTAATACACATCCATATTCCATATATTATAGGTCTCTCTTCTAATTCTTAATGTTCACAATCCTCCATGACAGGGTGATGACCGTTAGCTTTCACAAGTTTGGAGACCTGTTTTTTCCTGGAACTGGTGATGTTAAGGTGATCTTTCCAAATTTTCTCATCTCTTTGTTGGTGCTTACTTCGTAAATACTAGAAAGTACTGAATTTTAGTTTGGTATGTGACCCTCTTTGCTCTTCTTTTCCCTGTCTATATCACTTGTCCGCTACCAACATTCCTCTATTGCGTCCTTTCTGTCTCTTCATGAAGATTTATTTTTGTGCAACTTTCACTTTAGAAGAGCCTTAAATAAAAGACAGTATATGATTTCGCTGTTCTTGTATCTTCATCAGTGGATTTGGATGTTTGATTTTTTTTCATATCTTCTCGTGCAAGTCATTTTTCTCTGATTGGTATACTGCCTTCTTAGTTTGGTTAATATTTCAAAGAAATTAAAATTCTTTCCTTGATCGGTGGCTTTTGGAGAGATTAAGATTATGGATTCCATTTTGAGTTCTTCCACTTTGACCTTCTATCCTCAATAGTGCACCTTTGTGTCAGGGGGACTTGGTTCAAGTATTTTTGGTGGTTTGGAGTTGCTTTCGCCTCTTCTCCTAAGTGACGTTCCCATAGCTGTTGAGAACTCAGTGCATTCTTCTCCAATTCATGAGGGAGGTAGATTGTTGTGGCAAGACAGTTTCTTTGGTTGGAAAAAAACAAAGGGGCGTTTTAAGGGAAAGACAGATCTTGGTGAAAGTACTGGGCTTGTAATTGTTTTTGTTTTTTGTGCTCTTTTTGGTTGGTCTAGGCAAACTAGATATTTATATTTAAATAGCCCTGCTAAATGGGCTTATTATTCTGCACTTAAACTTACTACAATTTGGAAGTTGGATGAGACTCATAGATATTAGTATTTTGAAGGAAATAGGAGAAAGAGAAGGCAAGTTTTATGCCATTAATGTCCCACTAAAGGATGGAATAGATGATGGTAGCTTCACCAGACTTTTCAGGACTGTAAGTTAACTAAAAACTCTCTGGAATTAAGCATTATTGCCTTTTGCTATTATCTTTATTGATCATTGTACTTTTATGTGAATTCTGTACATGTAGATTATCTCCAAGGTTGTTGAAATGTATCGACCAGGTGTCATTGTTCTCCAGTGTGGAGCTGATTCATTGGCTGGAGATCGCTTAGGCTGCTTCAATCTCTCTATTGATGGTACGATTCATTGTACTTAATGCTCCCTTCCCAAGCGAGGAAAAGAAAAAAAGAAATGAAAACCCACATTATATGTTATGAGTTATGCAACTTTCTATTGCCTTTATTTATAATTCAATTTAACTTGAAGGCCAATGTTCCAATTAACATTTACTTGTTCTTCCAACAGGTCATGCTGAATGTGTGAGATTTGTCAAGAAATTCAATTTGCCTTTGTTGGTATGCTTTTTTGGAGGACTAAAATTCTGTGTTTAATTGTATATAATTATAATCAGATATTCATAGAACTTTTATGTACCTATAGGTTACTGGAGGTGGAGGTTATACCAAAGAGAATGTAGCTAGATGTTGGACTGTTGAAACGGGCGTTCTTCTGGATACAGAGCTGCCTAATGGTATAAAAAGTCCTCGTGTTTTTCTCCATCTTTCTTAGTTCGTTTTCTCTTCGTCAGTTTTCCTTCCATAAGTATCATTGAATTAGATATAGGCAAAACTATCGATCCCTATGGAAAGGAACTCGTACTCTCATTTTTACCATCCTCTTGTGCACTTCCAATTTTTGTTGATCTTTTCATTTATAACGTACAACAGCCCCTCCTCAAAAGGGTGATCATTAGAGTTTGACATCGATATTTGACTGCAAGCCTTTAGTAAATATTTCTTGATTCCATCAGGTTTTTCCTTTCATGTTTGTACCCTGTATATATATTTCCGAATTGTGCATTTTTTTCACCCTGTTAAGCTGAAAGGTTTCTCTGAAGCTTGCATGTTGCACAGATTTTTTTTTTTTTTTTCCTGTACTGTTTATCTAGTGCTTACCCAACCAGTTTAAACGGCTTTCTGATTCATAATGTGGAAGATTTTCTCTGTACATGTTCTCCATGCTGAAAATCTACGCTTTATTGCAGAAATCCCGGATAACGAGTATATCAAATATTTTTCTCCAGACCATTTGCTAAGAATTCCAAGTGGGCATATGGTCGGTACTTTTTCCAAATTTACATTATATGTTTTTTATTTACTTTCTAACCAGTTGAATTGCTTCTAGCAACGCATCACTCAATCCTCTTCTTTGTTCTTGTGATTTCCCTGGCAGGAGAATTTAAATACGAAATCTTATCTTAGCACGATCAAAACACAAGTCTTGGAAAATCTCCGTTTCATCCAACATGCTCCAGGTGTACAAATGCAAGAGGTGGGTTTGTGGCTGAATTTGTATGTGTACTTTCTAGTCTACCCAGGTCTTGATATATCCTAGTGGTGGAAACTAATAGCTTATCATTAATAAGTTTTTTTTTTTTTTTTGTCAATTCAAATATAACTTAATGGATAGGGCACTAATTACTACTCCAAAGGTCGGTGACTCAACTCCACCCTTTAAATTGTTGAACTGAAGAAACACTTTTTTTTTTTAAAAAAAAAACTTCATTTGCCTCCCAGTTTTTTTAGTTTTGAGATGAAATGGTATGTTGGGCTTTTCAATGCATGTAGTAGAAGTTCCAAGTTTCTCACTTTTTCATTGTCATATTAGCGTCTAAATAAGCTGTTCTAAATAAAATGAACTTCACACGGATGTTATTTTGGTACACGGTGCAGGTTCCTCCTGACTTCTATATTCCCGATTTCGATGAAGATGAGCAAAACCCTGATGAGCGCATGGACCGTGAGTGTCATCAGGACACTTTTTCTTTGCTTCTCTGATTAGATCTTGTTTTATGCCTTTCTCAATTAAAATCTAAATTCTGTTATTTCAGGGCACACCCAAGACAAGCAAATCCAGCGTGATGATGAATATTATGAAGGAGATAACGATAACGATCATGATATGGATGATGCCTGATGATCATCCTTCATTATCTTTTTTTTTTTTTTTTTGGGGTGAAAACGATGTATGACTGACTTGAGTAGAAAGAAAAGCATGTAAATAGATGGATTTGTCTATTATCTATTGTAGTGGTGATTTTTTTTCCTCTTCTAGAACGTTTTTTTTTTTTTTTTGTAATGTTTCTTTTTGGATTCTGTTGGTGTCACGATAGTAAGACAACATTTTGGTCTTCCATTTGATGAATTTTTTTTATATGTTCTCGGTTAGGAATCACGAACCTCCACAATAGTATGATATTATCTACTTTGAGCATAAACACTCGTGGCTTTGCTTTTAATTTCTCCAAAAGGTCCAAAAGGTCTCGTAGTAATGAAAATAGTATTCCATGCTTATAAACTCATGATCTTCCTCTTAATTAACCAATGTAAGGCTACTCCTCTCAATAATCTCCAAACATTCTTTTTTGTAAGGTCAAAATAGCCTATCCAGATGCTATTCTTTTCTATTATTTTTCAATCATCTTTAGTTTCTCAAGCTCTTGGCTTCAGTTCGGAGCTTTCTGAAATTGAAATATAACTACATGATTTGATTTAGAAAATTTTGATCAATAGCTAAAGAAAGGTTGAACTTGGTCGGTAGGTGATTGAATCTAGATGAGGTGATTGGTTTTTTATGCTACTTCCGGCAAAGCATATCAATAATTCACTGAGGAACGAAATGAAGCCATCAAATCATATTGGCTCTATTCCTACCAATTTCTTCTGTTTTAACGAAACAGAACACACAACTGATATGTTGATGCTAAGAGTATGACTGATACTAAACATATATTTCAGCTGATCGTAGTACGAACAAGATTGAATAGACAGAGATTGCCTCACGTCGTGGAGATTTCCAAAAGTCGATATCTTGCAACAAGTAGCTTGAATACCATAGTACAAAGGGAGGAAAGGAGGATCCATGGTCATGGTCTTAATGAAGGCTTCATTTTTGTTCCTCTTTTCTGTGATTCTTTCATTCATTTTAACGAAGGTTTGATTTTTCATAGGAGTAAAATTTGTTGGATAAAGCTAGTAACTCTGACCTTTTCCTTTTGTTATTTCAGTCTCCTCCTCCTTTTGGGGGATAACACAGCCTGTATTTTTCAAATATATGGGTACCATTTTGTGTTTTATCATATTCCATGGCTGGCTGCTGCAATGATGCAGAATTGTAAGTCCTCTGGTACAAAGCTGCACAAGTTACCTGTTTATCAAAACTGGGACTTTCATTGCTTCCGAGCAAGATTTGATTACCTAGAACTAAATAATGTGCAAACCTGTCTAACTCGTAATGTAATAACTCAAGCCCACCGCTACCAGATATTTCTGCTTCGGCTCGTTATGCATCACCATCAACCTCATGGTTTTAAAATGCTTCTGCTAGGAAGAGATTTCCACACCCTTATAAAAGATGTTTTGTTTCCCTCTCCAACCGATATGAGATCTCACAATCCACCCCATTCGAAACTCAGCATTCCTTTGTTGGCACACCGTATGGTTCCTCACTTTAATACCATTTGTAAGAGTTTAAGCCCACCGTTAGCAGATATTGTCCGCTTTGGCTTGTTACATATCCCCATCAGTCTCACGGTTTTAAGAAGCGTCTGTTAGGAAGAGGTTTCCACACCCTTAAAAAGAATGTTTCGTTCTCCCTTCCAACCGATATCGGATCTCAAAGCAAGAAATATGAATGTTCATCGAGGCAGGATTTTTTGAACCGAATGAAAAAACATTATAAAACAAGAGAAATTGGCCGAGGGGACAAAAAGGTATCTCTACTATTCCTTTGCAGCGTGGCCATTGCAGCTTTTATTTTCAAAACTGCATCCTTCACCACCTCCCTACTTTCACTTTCCCAAATTTAGCTTAGAGCTTCAGAAACATGGAACCATTTCAAAAAAGTAAAGTAATCTGATAAATGTTTTGAGGAGTACCTTTCCATGAAGAGTCCGAGGAGTCTTGGAATCTTGGAACTTTTTTATTGAAATAATGTCTCTTTTCAATTTCAATGCCTGAATTCGTGAGATTCTAAAGTTATTCAGCCATAGCAACTCTGAAACAGAACGCCTTTATACATTCACAACAAAATGAGAAAAAGGGTAAAACTGTTTAATTTACCTTTGCTAAAAGGTGAATTTAGATATTCAAGAACACAAGATCTGGTTGGACCACAACCAACAAAACCCATTGAGATAGATTCTAAAACCAAAGTCTGAAAAGACTTTGAATTTATTCAAATGAAAACAATATTTGTTCAGCGGATACACATACCATATGACTTGAAATATATCCATTCCACAAAGGGATTAACCATTGCGTTACTTGAATAATTTGCATTATTTTGCATGAATGAAGTACCTATCCAGAGATCATTAACCTGAAAAGTGTTTGTTCTCTGCTAAGATGCTTTCCAACAGTGATTCACACGCATCTTCAAGCAAGTCCAGAACCTAAATTGACACATTGCATAATTTTCAACAGAAGTACCAATTTAGTGGGCGTTAAACTTAGCATACAAAGTAGATTTTTAAGGGTATGCTGAAGAATTTAGACTATCAACTTGATGAACAGTGAATAGGTAACGTATGGTTCATGAGTACTGTACAATCAACTTTATCTCAATCACAGAGCCCAGAAAAAAGAAGAGTTGTAAAAAACATATTTCAAAGAAAAAGAATGCCTCCATGTAAAGGATGAAAGAACCAGATGAATGAAAAGACTTACTAAGATATGCAGTAATTTGACATTCATGCAACTGATCTTTTATGAAAATTACAAGCACGCTAAATGTGACTGAAATGTTCATATGGAAGAAAAGGGAAACAACTAGCTGTTTTTTCATGGAAGTTGAAAAACAAGATGGTTCGGGAAGATTTGAACCTCTTAGTCAAAAGAATGTCTAAACTAGTTGAGCTAAGTTCGAGTTGGCCTTAAAATATACAACCATATGATGATCAAAGATATATTTACAGTGTTGCAACTATATTTCTCCAGCAATTTTAGCCTACAAAGTGAACCAGAATTCTATTCAAAGCATGTAAAAATCCAGAATCCCAAATATCCAGAACAAACATACATAAGAATTTCTGGATTACCTTCTCAAAACCTTGTTGCCCACCATAATAAGGATCCGGTACCTCTGTTTCATTATGCCTTTTACAGTATGAGCACATTAATTTGACCTGACATTGTTGGATCGGCATCTTTATGAGATCACGTATTGAAAAGAATGAAAATCATACACAAACACAAGTAATTCTCATTCAAGATCTTGTACTAACCTTCTTATGCGAATCAGGAGGGAGGGTATTCTTAGTTCTCCACCGTTCAAAAGCCCCTAAAATATCCTCTGTAGAAATAATCAAGACCCAGAAAATGAATCATTAACAAAGATTGAGTTGACCTGGGAATGATTGGAATTGCAAAACATAGCACAAATACGAAGATTTTGCCATAGTATTCTCTCCTACCTCTGTTTTGCTTGTCCATGGCAAGAATAAGATCAAAATTTACAAAATCAGATGGCTGGATTGGCCTCGATATGGATGTTATCGCTATCCCGCGCCGTTTAGAGGCTGCTCTCATTCTTGGGTCGGCCTCATTACCCTTGAGAAATGAGTCAAAATCACTTAGAACCATATAGAACCAGTTTTCGCTTCAAAGAAACTATAGCGATTGTTTAATTGCAGAGAAAACGAGAAAAGGAAACTGTTATAGAAGCGATAATTTTCGCAACGATGGAGGATGAAACCTTTTAATCGAATCAACAACAAGAAAATGGCACAGAGAATTTCCAATTAAAAACAAAGTCGATTACCTCATGGTAACCAATGGTGCCAGCAGAATCTATTATGAACTTGGAATCGAGACCCCTCTTCTTCACCAGGTCTCTGAATACTCCTTCAGCAGCTGGGCTTCTGCAGATGTTTCCCAAGCACACAAAGAGCACAGAGAAAGGTTTTGTCGCTGTCTCTGGGATTGTGGGAATGGCGTTATCGGCCATGGAAGCTACAATGAAAGAAGTCGATGGTGTAGAGAAATGGGTTCCACGGGAACTTCGAGAAGGCTTAAAGTTTCGGAGATGGGAGAATTTTATAGGTTGACAAACAAGCAATGACGAAGGGTTTAGTGATGAAGTAGGACAGAAATGACTGTAAGGCCTTAGAAAATTGGCGTCAACTCTAAGCTGCAATTGCAACGCCCTCATCACTGCGTTGGATGGGACTCCGATTATTGGTTCCTACAGAATCTCCCCAGCTCTGCAAACGTGTTGCTACCACTACTTAGAACAATTCTCCTTTTGGCCTTTTTTTGAGATAATGCTCCGTTGGATCATTCAATCTTCTTCAACGATGAGATATTATTAATTTGACCTCTCCGTAGTTCATTTAGTACAGTCTGGTAAAAGTTAATCCATATCTGTTGTCTATTTATCCTGTGGGAGGGAGAAAAGGATGGTGTTTTTCCTTCACAACATATAGTTTTCCTTTCACTAGCATGGTTACATTATAAGCTATAACAAGGATGAGAGCTTAGAAACAAAAATATGGATGTTCCCTAGTCAGAAAGTGTAAGCTAAAACAGGTAGAAGATTGCTGCATCCGCTTCCATATTCTCGAGATCTCTACACTTTGTGTTCTCCCCGGGATCCACTGGCATTGCACCAGTTCCATCGTCGAAGAACTTGGGAAGCTCAGGTGGAACTGCACAACGTATCAGAGCCCAATTGATGCCTTCAAAAAATGGATGCTGCTTAATCTCAATAGCTCCTTTTGTTGCGCCTAATCGGTTTTCAGGCTCCTTTGCCAACAGACATCTGATTAGATCTCTTGCATGAAAGCTAACTATGGGGCTATCAGGGAACTTGAGAGTGTGGGATACTATGTTCGCTAATGTGTCCTCATTTCCTGAACCTTTGAAGGGAGTCTTACCATATAGTAGCTCAAACAGGAAAATCCCGTAAGTCCACCAATCAACAGCACTCCCATGGCCATCACCCTTAACAATCTCAGGAGCGAGGTATTCGTGGGTTCCTACGAATGAATTGGACCGCACACCAGTTGGCTCGACAATAAGCTGTGGTAATAGACTAGCCTGATTGTCTGCTTTTGTTCTCCGAGATTTGTATGGAGCAGATAAAACTTTGGGGGTGAAGCATGAGACCTGCCAGGATGGGTGGAGGCAGAAAGGGTCAATGCAACTAGATTCATCACAGGGATTCAACTTCCTCTTGGTGGATTCCACAACTGGAGATGATGATTGAAGCAGCATTGGATTAACAGCACATCTAAGAGACAAATCAAAATCTGTGAGCATTATGTGCCCATCTTCTCGGACCAGAACATTTTCGGGTTTCAGGTCTCGGTAAATAACGCCTTGCATGTGTAAGTACTCCAGGGCAAGAAGAATCTCGGCAACATAGAACCTAGAATAAAAAGATTCAGCAAGTCCAAATTTATTGGATCAGAAAGACACTAACCAAATTTAATACTTGGTAACAAAAGATGCAGTGTTTTATCAATCAATCAGACTGATTATGACGGAACAACTTCTTCTAACAAGAAGTAAACCACATTATCCAACAAAATGTTTTGACCAATGACTACAGCCAAACAGAAAAGACATGAGAGCATGCTTTTAATCTAAGCATCGAAACTCAACGACCTTTTAACTTAATATTTTAAAACCCATCCACAAATGGTGGTGTGGTGGTCCCCTAGTCTCTTCTTTTCATTCTCAACTTGCCAATATTCACAGTAAACATACACTTTCATATATGCATAAATCAAATGACTAGCCATCATGAGAACAGATTTCCAGCACAAGTACATGCTAACATCGTGTGAGAAAACAAAAGCGTAATTATACTGGGGCACTTAATTAGAGAATCGCAATCTAACCTGACTGCATGCTCAGAGAAACTCTTGCATGGTTGCTTTTGTTGCAGCACATGGAGATCTCCACCAGAACAGTAGTCCATGACCAAGCATGATTGCTCATCCGTCTCAAAATGAGCATATAGTGTAGGGAGAAATGGATGGTCAAGTATTTCCAGTATCTCTCTCTCAGTTTGTGCCCGAAGTATTTTTTTTCTGCTTGCCAAGAACTCCTTGTCCATCACTTTGATAGCAAATAGACAGCTGGAATCGCATAGCTCAGAGAGATATACAGTCCCAATGTCCCCAAGACCAAGTCTCCTTAACAGATTGAAGTTTTTCAGACTTAGGCATTTATGTTGATCCTGAATGTGGTGGATAGCTTCCCATTTCAAGTCCCTTGACATGTGAGGCCTTACTCCACTACAACTTGATCCACTGAGAATGCTTTCCCCACTGATGCTTGGGCTATGGCTACATTCACCAATACTACTACTTTTAGAGCTCTGAGAGAACATCCCTTTCTCTCTTGATCTGGATCTCTCATCGAATGACATAATAGTTGGTCTGATCCTGTTACAGCAGTTGAGAGATGTACCAGGTCCACTGGACTCTGTGTTTACTAGATTTGCACTTACTTCAATACCTAAAGTTGTGCTACTAGAGATAGAGGAACCTATCTCTTTTTCTTTACTCTCATGATTCTGGGCATTTTCTGGCATTCGGTTCTCAAACTTTTCTGCTATGGAACCCAAATCAGTGTCAACCATCACTGTACGCATTTCAAACGCGCTAGGGGAGGAAATAGGTTCAAGTTTTGCTTTCTTCTTGACAGAGTTTTTGGTCCTGAAAATAGGTTTGATGAAACGTGTATTATTGAAAGCTGATTTGTTTGGCCAAATAACAGATCCAGAGCTTGATAGAGAGGATAAACAACGCATTGTACCTTTCTCCTCTGGCACTGAATTTTTTGCCAAATCTTCAGTTGAGGAATTATCCAAGCTGTTCAGAGTCGGATCCTTCTCACCAGAAGGAGTGAAAGAAGGAGATTTAAGTGGCTTTATACTTGTCACTTCTACAAGATCCTTTGACATCAATCTATCCACATTTGCCTCTTCTGATACCCCAGTGTTCTTAAAAAGTGAAGACTCAGCACCCTGGTTTGATATATCTGCCTCAGTTTTATGCAACAATTCAGGCATCTTATTCTGAAAAGTAGACATAATTTCTGAAACAATGGAAATTTCTACCAAATTTTCTTTGCTTTCATTTATTCGCACATCAGATCCATTGGCCTCAACCACCACAGCCTTATACAACCTTTTAATCGTTCCTGCTTCAGAGATTCCAGGTGAACCTAAAGACCTTGTTAACCTCTTTGCAGCAGCCATTTCAGCAGCCTGAGATATGCACAAGCCCCTCAAAGCCTGCTTTAAGCTTGCAGGCTCAGAAATTCCAATCCCTGCCATGTGAGATGAACCCACTCTCATTGGTCTCTTCATCGCACTCTTTTGCAACGCATCTTTGTCAACTCCATGTTGCTGACCTGACCTGTTACGTAATGTTCTGATATCAATTGCCTGAAACAGACGATTAATGTCATCCTCTATTGAAAACCTTTTTCCTACATCTATCGTGTAACTTGTCCCAGCTTTCTCAGAATCAAATTCTTCCGTTGATTCAACAATTTTAGAAGTACTAGCTAATGTAGTCATCTTTTGGGAATAACACTAGAGGAAGCGAGAAGATGTGGCCTTGATGGTAACTGCTAACCCAATTCTAAGGAACTATTTCTAAGACACAATGCAGATATCAAACGTTGTGCCAGATGTCCTCCGAAGCTGTCTTCAACCAGCATATTTCTTCCAAGAACTTTGAGATGAAACATCAAAAGTCTGCCAGGATTCCATTTCATGTCAGTAAACCATCGATGCAGGAATCACACTAATATCCAATATAATACGAAGGAATATTGAATCATCAAACAACCAAAAATCATCATTAAAAACTTCATGAAAGAAAGTTTACACCGTATGTTAGAGTCCATGAGAAAGCAACAAAAATAAATATATCACTGTCAATTTCTATTTCACTTCAAACCATGATTTAAACACCAGGCAACGGCATCAATTTCGACTTGAAGAATCATCACCAGATATCTCATCCTTGGATATACATTCGTGGTTAACAATTTGCAGATAATCAATGGCGAACTTCATTATCCATACAATTTTCCAAATTTGATACTCAAAAAGTCTACATGAACAAAAGAAAAACCAAAACGCAGGATTCATACTCAGCATATTCTAAACAATAGCATACATAAATACATCCAAAACAGCACACAACCTCAATCAACTCATGCCATTCTATCTTCCACAGTAAAACAATATTCTCCCTAAAAACGCAAAACTCTCATATAATTACCATAAATTTCCAGCGAAACGAAGCAACGAGAGCAACCCACTCCACCCACCGTAACGTCGGGGATGATCCAAGCCTCCGAAACCGACGTCTCCGAGACACCGAACAGAGGAATACGAAAACGGAAACAACAGAGCTAAGGATCGAATGAAAAAAGACGAAAGAGAAAACAAAACAGAGGGATTTGGGATGGTTTTAGCGTTGGGGAAAGTGAATGAAGAAAGAGCGAACAAACGAACAGTCGCTAAAGGAAATCACAAGGAATCCGAGAGAGCACGCCAAAGCCAAAGCCAAAGCCAAAGCCAAAGCCATAGCCAACGCTAACATGAGCCATAGACGAGAGCCTCCGACTCGACTCCATGACTGTAAACTCTCTTCTCTTTTCCCACCGCCAAAACCGGCATAGGAGAGAGAAAACTGGTTAGAGAGAGAGAACTCGCGGGTTGAACTCGCTGGTTGCAACCGTACAATATTTTCTCTGTTTGACACGTGGGGTCCACCCTAAATTCTTTGGGATGTCAAACTTGATTTGATATTTTTGTATTATTTATGAATATTAAAATACCGATTAAATAAAATAATATTATTATAAATTCTGTGGCAACCCAACAAAAGCAATGATCTTGTTGTGTTCCTGTTCGGCGCCCAAATAATTTTTTTAAATATTAATTATACACGTCACTCTGAAATTTAACATAATTAATTTTCAAGTATTTAAAGTAAGATTTAAGTTTCAATATTAAAATATTTAATGGAAACGTGTTTGTCAAATAAACTTTTTTAATTTTTTATTTGATTAATTTGTTGGTTAAAGACAAAGCAACGAAAGTGGTTAATTTTTTTTATTAGTTCAACGGCCAATAATCCAACCATCTATTTTTTAAATAATAATTATCTAATAAATTAAATTCAAACTCTAAATAATCTACCAACAATAAACATGAAAATAGTTTGTTAATGATAGACAGAAAAATAGTATATTAAATATTTAGAAATGAAAATAAACATAACTCTACCAATTACCTTTTAGGGGTGTGGAAATCTCTCTAACCTACGCGTTTTAAAGCTTTGAGAGAAAGCTTGAAAGGGGAAAACCCAAAGATAACAATATCTGCTAGTGGTGAACTTGGGTCGTTACAAATGGAATCAGAGCTAGACACCAGACTATGTGTTAGCGAGGAGGCTGTTCCCCGAAAGGGGATAGACACGAGGCGATGATCGGACTATGTGCCAGCAAGGAGGCTGTTCCCCGAAAGGAGTAGACACGAGGCAGTGTGCTAAAAAAGACGCTGGCTCCCCAAAGAGAGTGGATTTGGGGTTTATATTTTGAGAAATTATAAAGGGGTACACCGACTAGTAAGGATGCTGGCCTCAAAGGGAGGTGGATTTGAAGTTTATATTTCATGAGAAAATATAAAGGGTAGACACGAGACGGTGTGCCAATAAGAATGCTAGGCTTCGAGTTTAAATTTTATGAGAAAATATAAAAGGGTAGACACGAGGCGGTGAGCCAATAAAAATGCTGGACTTGGAGTTTATATTTTATGAGAAAATATAAAAGAGTAGACACGAGGCGGTGTGCCGGGAAGATACTATCGAAAAGGGTAGAATTAGGGTTTATATTTTATGAGAAAAATATTAATAAAGTGACAAAAATCAAACCTTTCAAATCAAAACTAAAATAACTCCCATCTCAAACAAATAATTCCCCGCGAAAAATGGGGATTTAACAAATAAATAAAACGATCAACATGAAGAGGACAAAGGGACAAAAAGAGAAAAAATAAAAATAAAAATAAAAACTAAAAAGACATCGCTGCCCCTAAGCATCATCATTATTACGTGAAATTGCCATTTTCCATATATCTTATTTCTTAGTAGGATAATGACAAAATATCCACCCCATATATTCAATTTATTTTATAATTTATTCTCTGAAAAAAAAAAAAAAAATATATATATATATTTTTTAAGTTAAATAGTAATTAGAGGTGAAAAAATCGACCTTTTCATATTTTGATCAATAAAATACATTTTTAATTAATTGAATTATATCTAAATTGGCAAAAAAAAAAAAAAAAAAAAACC